TTCGTGATGAATCTCGGTTCTGTTTGAGCATGAAAGGCACGTACACCGTTCTATGGGAGTAATGGCGTGGAGGGCTATCGCTTATGGTAGCCGATTACTCTTAATCTTTATACGCGGCAATATGACAGCAGCCCGTTACATTGACGACCTCCTATGGCCCGGTTTACTTCCCAACATTGAGAGTCTTCAGAATGACCTTTTTCAACAGGACAATGCTCGTCTTCGCATTGCCCACAGAACTATGCACTTCTTGGAAGATGCTGCCATTGACATTTTGCCTTGGCCACCTCGATCTCCCGATTTCAACCCCATAGAATATGGGTGAGATATGATGGGCCCACCATTAACAAATTTTCTGAAACCTCCACAGATTTTGGCTCCATTTTAGCAGGAAATTCAAACTGCCTGGAACGAATTACCCCAAGCAGACATTGACCACTTCATTTTATCGATGTCCAGATGTGTACATGAGTGCATTCAACATGGAGGGCGGCCAGCACATAATTAACTATAATATTGTTAATTGTTAAAATATATAGGTATCTGAATTTGGATCATTCCTTTACCTCTTGAAGACAAACACCTGATATAAAAATCATTTGAAAAAAAAAATGAATGTTGGACTTCCTATGTCAGGCAGTATACAATCGTCAGTAAGCTATTTTAATGTTAAACGACACTAGATCACAATGTTAAGATAAATGATTCATTAAATCTATATGACGGCCACCTTTAAAATTTTGATGTGATGTCAATTTTTGAATAAATTTTAATTGACCGATACAACATTAGATGCAGTAATTATGCAGATACATTTAAAAAGAAATGTATGAATAATTGAATTTATTAATTCCATCAAACGGTTGTACAATGTCTCCCAAATCTTGCGACGCAGAAATGTAGTGAATCATGGTGCGTTGCATGTATCAAAAGGACTGGATTAAAACTTAAAAAAATGAAATAAAGGAATTATGAAGGATACGTTCTAACATGCATGCAGTATCTTTTGTGCTTCAGAAGCGAGAAACGTTCCGTGTAAATAACTTCTTCTCTCATGTTAATTGCTTTGTTTCATTTATGGAAAATGATATACGTATATAAATATTTTGTGGCTTTCGTTGACTTGACTGCTGAAAATTCAGAGAAGATAGATAAACTCTTCAGCTGTATTATCTCACAGATGAATATTTTGAGATATTGAAATTCTGTGAACGCCACTAGTTTGGTCTGAGAGAGGAAAATGTCACATAAAACACATCTTTGTGGAAATTGTGAATCTTTTTAAGAACATTTTACAATGTTTACACTGATTGTATTAAAAAATTCCAATATTTTCCATGAATTATGAAGTCAAATTCCGTGGTTCTTGACAATGTCGGAAATTTTTTTGTTCGCAATGGTATTTCTGTTAAAAGCTTTTTCCATTTCATTTAGGAGGTATCTGTTACACCTGGCAAATCCATATGTTTGACAATTCGCACATTTTTTGACTTCCCAACTCTACAATCATTTCTTATAACCTCAAATGGAACTAGCACAGGAATTGCTGCAGTGTATACAAGTTTGATCTTTTCACTTTTGCACAGTCTTAGGAAGCTACAATTATTTACGATTTTGTAAATTTGAATCATTGCTAGCCTTACAAGGTACAAAGTTTCTGCCCACAAAGTCCAACCATTTTGCGAAACCCAAAGGTGAGACAGGTTTCCTTTCTAATTCTTAGATATACATATGTATCCCGAAGATAAGTTACTAAACACTTTCATTTCTTAATAGAGAATTCATCAGATTCCAGTTTATGAAATATTACTGTAATATAAGTTCTGCACTAAGGAAGTTCAATCAAGAACTCCTATAAACGCTCATGTTTTTCTTCTTCAAAACTGTTTCGTATAGGTTACGTGTGTTCTTTTTTTTTTATTCGAATCCACGTACAATTTTAGCCAGTTTATTTGGTAAATTGAGTAAAGCTTGAACCGATTCTCCGACTTTTATTTACGGAATTTTTGTACTATTGGATTACCTTTGTTTGACAAACTGCATACTTTTGTAATTTTCAAATTGTGTTTTGAATCTTAGACTTTTCTGAATATGTAGGCAAATCTGTGTTGGTCCTTTCTTAACCGATTTATTTTTCTGAATGGTTACTTCTTGATTTATTTTCCGGATAAGTAACAGTTTTTATTCTGACGTTTGTTGGTTCTTGACTCCGACTTAGCTGTTTCCTTTCGTGTTTTTAACAAATAAAAACATAACTAGAATAACAAAAAATAAAATGACGCCGTAAATTTCAATAGATCTAGGTGATAGTATTTAACACAATTTCTATCTTTGAAATAAGATTTCAGATCAGATATAAAACAATAATAAATGGAAACTTTTCATGGTGCAGAATAAAATACTGCAATTCAGTGCTAGAAATTTACATTTTATTGCAAATGTCAGCTTGCTCTGTGCTAACACGGATCCATCTGCTATTATCGCCTGGATTTCTTTGCATCTATAGATCGGTACATAAATCGTCATATGCAATATTTTAGTCAGATTAACCAGATTTTACTTCAATTACTTAGAAGATAATTGCTTTTAAAATTGATCGAAGGCGTTATAGTTTGATATTAAATTATTTGTTGGTAAATTCTCCGTTGCATACTCATTAATGGACACAATTTTTTGTAAATTAAATAATGAGTAAGTAATAAATAACAACTTTTCCTAAATTAAACAAATTTAAACCATATTTTAGAATTAAGCTAGAACAAAAGCTTATCAACATCATCAGTCAATTTATTTGCGATTTTTTTTCAAAATTTATTTTTTTTTAAGTTGTAATTTATAGTTAAGCGATATGTAAGTTAATTCGATAATAATTGACGCCTCGCTCGGACTTCTTTAAGTTTCAGTTTTGTATTCATGTGTGTAATTATTTATATTATGAATCAAATAAATAGTTGTTGCTTTGTAACAGGCGTTGACATATCTTATGGTTAAAAATCGTTAAACTTATTGAATAACTTAAATAGGTAATTTAATTATACTAAGAATAAAACGCCGGGCTACGATTGTAAATTTAACCTTTTCAGTTAACCCGTAGGTTAAATTAGTCCTGCGATGTTTTGTCAGTTAACTGAATTTAGATTGTTTATTATTTTTTTATAGACTATTGGCACTGCTTTGATGATTCGTTAATAAAATTTATGCCGAATATCATTTATTTATTTATCTTTGTTGAAGTTTTTTCTCATTCCGGGTGCATATGTACATATTCTCGTGTTAGTCGTTAAGTTTAAGAAGTTTCCGTGGGTTGTTTTGTGGTGACGTAGCGGGCGTGGGCTAGTTCATTCGACCATTAGTTAATATGACATTTTCGTCGAAAGGACCGAACCTTTGTACCAGTTAATTAATTGAAAATTTTCTCAAGGATAATGGAGCTTCAAAAACTACCCGTATTACACAGAAATAAATTTCCGACATCTGCAGTTATTTTTCGAGTTTGACGTACTTCAAGTTGATTGCATATTAAAATATTCAAACGTGGATAAGGGTTAATGAGTATCTGAGCTTGCTTAAAATGTAATATTTAAAAGTAACGTATCTACACGACCAGACTTTTAAAAAATTATTAGATTAATGGATGAATTGAAGTGAAGCGCCCGGATTTATTAGGGATTCGGAAAATATATCTCGTGTAGGAATTGTAGTTTAGGTGAAATGGCTCAGGTAACATTTCAGAATTGGGTTGAGTAGCGTCGTTAAAACAACTGAAAGATATATAGCGCCAAGTGAACGATTTCCGATAGATTTTCGAGTTCTCTATGTGAAAGAATAAGAGACGTACAAATGAAACGAAATGGAAAAAGGTGGGGAAATCTCCTTGCGCTTATATTAATATATTACGTTTGATTTAAATATTATTCACTGAGCTGGTTTTCCGAAACTATAACTAACAGAAATACTTTTATATAGTGAGTGAAAAAATGATTATGAATTTCTTAGAGGCGATAGGTATCAACTTATTTGGTTAGCATCATTCAGGCATGATTAAAATTGTGAAGGACTTCTAATAAATAATCAACGTACGAAAAAAGAATTTTGCATTTACAGTTCGTCGCGGTGCGAAATGTTTATGAAACATAAAAATTAGATATTCGTAGCAAAAATATCCCTGTAAGTTTTTTTTCTTGCATTTTTGCTGGGAACACAAAAGTAAACAGGAGGCGTTTTGTGCAAATAATAATCACAACTTTTCCCCCACAAATATTTGAGTGATTTGTGTCAATGGAATTAAAACGACAAAAGCATATTTTTGATACAATATTTGGCCAGTAAAAAGCGAAAATCACCCGGATTTTGTTTTGCTTGTAAAAATTGTTATCCATCGTAAAATTACGATTATTTATTTCCAAACACAACTTTGCCGCACCATTTATTTATTGGCAGTAATATTTTGAGGGCGAAAAATTAACATTGTTTATGTTAGACATACTTTGTAAAATGTTTTTAACGGCTGCTACAAATGTTCTCGTCGCGTGATCTCTTTTTGTAATTGTAACGATTGATGTGAACATATAACATAGTGACTGAACTAGAGTATTGATTATCGGGATGCAAACGTTACACGTGGTGCCGGTTCCATTGTATTGCTACCACTTTCCTTCAAGGATTTTTTCAGATTGCAAGTTAAATATTTACGGACTACTAGAAGTAGGTTGCTAAAATGCGTAAACTGTAAATACAAGCATTTCAAAGCTTCGGATTGCTGCGAATTCTATTTTCTGATCCACACGTGCAAAGTGTTTTACTTGCAACGGACGTGTTGTCAGTGTCAACGTTATGAATACCTTTAAAATTGTGCCACGATTCGGTCTGTTAACTATTTTATTTTCTTCGAGTAGTAGCGTTTATTTATTTTTGCTTTGTAATAATTACGAAGGGAATGTCTTCACAATTGACCTCAAATGTGTTCCGCACATGTAGATGACTTGATTATACTTTTCTAGGCTCCATCATGTTTCACGTAAGAAGAAGGCCAGCAGATTGTGCACCAAGGAAGAGGAAAAAAAAGCCAGGAGCATTAGGCACCAATGCAACAAATCCTCGCGATGTTAGAGATGCTGTGCCACTTTTAATGGAATTGGGACCAGATGGATCTGCACCACATCCTAGTGACACAACGAGAACGATACGGCTTACGAACGACGTCATGGAGGTAAGTACGCAAATTGACATGAATCTGAATTGCATTTCTGCGTTTAAAAAATTTATGTTATGTATGTCGGAATAAGTTTCATCAAGTCTTCATTGAAATAGCCGCAATGAAGATAAAATGGTACTCAAAATTTAATAAAATTTTACAAAAATGATCCTATAAATGTTTATATTTTTTGTGTCATAATGTATACTTAAATTGCAGTAAAAATAATTTAATCTTGACACGATTCATAACTGCCTGTAATTCGTCTTTCACTACAAAAAGCATATTTTAATTTATAAAAATGTTCTCTTTGTGTCAACTTCCGAACTGTCAGTACAGTAAAATTCAAACAAAAAGTTAGAGTTTTATTAAAAATCTAGATCAGTATATAATGAAATCTCTGAATATTTTTTTGCAGGCAGTGATTTACGTTCACGGGAAAGTCGATGAATTTACAAATTTTAGTTTTATTGACGGATAGATGTTGTTAGGTACTTCAGCTATTACGTTCATTTCTAGATTTGGTCTAAAATTTTGATTTATTGTAAGTTCTATTATAGAAAAGTGAAGTGTTGCGTATTTGACTAGAAAACGCCAATATTAAAACTGCAATCGACGTCTATTATTACATATTATGATGTTTTACAACGGGTTTGTGTTCATAGAATTCCTTTGAAGAGTCGCCAAATGTGTATAGTCGCTCTTTGTGGAATTGCAGAAGATAGCTCTAGAAATGTTTCAAGTGTATTATTTTGTCTTAAATTATCAACACAGAAGAGCATAAAGTGTTATATTTACATCTTGAAATGATTTCATAGACATGAAAAGAATGGAATATTAAAAAAAAAACTTTCTCATTCTTACATCTTGTATACAAAACTCACTTAACATACACCTTGTAAAACTTTTATTATACTTAAGCGGCTTAAGCCAAAGCACCTTTATAAGTCAAACTGGCTGTTGCATAACTTAACTCAGTTCACATATACCTAGTAAAACTTTACAGCTCCATTATGGCAAACATAGACAGTAATAATAATCCTTGGGGGGCGGGTCCATTAAAAAGGTAGTTTGGCTTAAACCGCATAAATCATAAAAGCTTTATAAGGTGTATGTCAACTGCGTTTTGTATGTAATTATTAGAAATATTCACATTAGCAATAAAAAGAAAAAAAACATCCTATCAATTTGTGTTCTCGACTTGCAATTTCTTCGAAATCTTTTAAACAAATTTTGTGTACGACCATGGAATTTTTTATCATTTACTGGTTGCTAACACGGCGGTAAGTCAATTTCTTACCGTTTAAGCGAACGGTAAGTAATTATTAATTCACGATTTTAATGTTTTTCCGAGGTAAAGCCATAGTAAGAAATTTTGAAACTAAAAACAGGCCTCGTTAATATTCGATAAAAACCGCTAGAATTCTGTCGGTCGTACACAAAATAGTATAAGCATCACGAACGTTAGGGTCTCGATAACTTGGAGACGTCCCTTCCCTTCGTTTTCTTCGGCGAGTAAACGGCCCTTACCCTTATTAATACTTAATATACTATTTCATGTCTGTATGCGATGTTTGTTGCCCATAATCCTATATACTTACCTATATAAATATATTTTAAAATAATGCAGGACATTGAAGTCATAAAATGAAAATTTTAAATAATGTGTAGTTTAAATAAGTTTTCACTGATGTACTCCGAATACAGTGTTTCTTTCATATTTTATATTAATTGAACGACATTTTTACTTTCCGAGCGTAAGCTACGGGCCTTTTTACACGCCACAGAATTGTTCCGAAAATGCCTACCAAAATAATTTTGCCAAGAAAAATTTTTTTTTCTAAGTATATGTATTTTGATGGTAAAGTGCGCATTGTTCAGAACATGACAATTTGTTTATGTTTTAGTGAGGTTAGGTAGTAGCGGGTTACGCAAAATTTTTATCAATAATGTTGGGAGTAATTTTCGGCCTAATTCTGTGATGTATAAAACGGTTCTAAGGAAGTATTGTAATCGGGGTCCATCCTAACATCTGGAGTATGAAAAAATAGGTCTGCCATTTTATTATTGAAATAAAGAACGGCTCGCTCCATTTTCCAAAAATTAAGGAATGCAATATTATTGTTATTAGTATTACATTACGCCGATCCAAATTGATATATGCGTCCTTGGTAAAATGTTGATGACGTCATCACAACATTTTGTAATGGAACATTTCACGTGAAACATACGCATAGTACGTTTTTTTAACTTTACTTCAATATTACACACGTATCTTTATTATATCTTGTAGGGGTTATCACAAAAAAAAAGACAAAATACGATTTTATCATTTTTTGAGAAAGCTGTACTGTTGTTTTATACTTCAGGGACAAGGGAAGTTCTATTTAAATAATCTTCGACGAGTTTTCCCTAAAAAACTGGATTTGTTTGATTGTATTTTGGAGGCGAGGGAAGTTCTGCCAAAGAACATTCGACCATTTATTTTTTTAGAAAAGCAGTTTCGTTTATTGATAAAACAAAAAACGGACTATCTCATTTTCCTGAAATTTTCGAAACACGGTATTATTGTTATTACTATTACACTGTTCCTATTAAAAAAGTTCAAGATGACATCACAAAATGTTATTAAAAAATTCCTACTTGAAACATATGGCATAGCATGTTCCCGTAAGTGTTTAATAACCTACTATCTTTGTTTTAATATATAAAAGTTATAAAACGAATCAAATATGAACATTAAAATTTTACAATTTATCTAACAACATTTTACTCGTTTTTATCTTTTACATGGGCCACCAAGGTAGGTGGTGCAAGACTTCCAAAACGTAATGCTAAACTTCAGTCAACAAAGAAATGAAACAAAATATGTACATATCTGTATAAAGCAAATCAGCATCAAAATACAACGATATATATAATATAACTTCTGAATAATTCTGTGATGGTAAAATCAATTTCTGTGAAGAAATTATCGATTATAGTTCAGGTATATTTGTAACATGAATTAGTTGATATGTCCCTATGGGATGCAACTTTATTATCCCTTTGGAATGCAAATTACTTATATATGCGTAAAGTATTAGGGAGTTAACGTATTTAAATATGTATAATATTTGTGTCGACTGAAACGTCTCTTAAGACAAAACTTTCTTTTTTTTAAGAAGAATCTCATTATCCTGGAAACGTCGCTTTTTAATGAGTTTATTTTTTATTTTTATTACAGATACGACTTCTTTGTTTTTAATTTATAAAAATGTGGTATGCAAATAATTTTGTTGAAACAAAATAGAAATTTAGATTATAAAACAGATTTATTATGTTACTAGAGCCAAGTGCAATTTATGAACATATAATTCATCAAATTGTTGATAATCTATTTAAAGAAGGAATGATCATTCTATTTTAAAACCCAACTTCTTTAAAATTTATGACCTTGTTATAACAGACGTCACAGCTTGCAGGTATTGGAAGTAACTCTACAATCGAACTGTATTGATAATTAAATAACTTTTTTGTTATGTATAAAGATTTAAATACGAAACAGATATAAAAGAGTTTTCATCAATTTTAATCAGAATATAACATCAACAATATTTTGGTATTTCACAGGGTTCAGTTGCTTATCACCACACTTATCGTCGTGTTGTTTTCACCGTCAACAGTATGCATTCATAACGTGCCGTTATAATTAAAATTCATTAAACTCAGCTGGGAGCGTTCAGTCTTTTCAGCCTGTAGATTACTATTCAATTATCTAAATTAACTTACAGTTTGATGATATTGAGGGAAGTACACACGTCTGGCATTCTTCATACCAATGGATCTGCTGCATGGATTATGTTTCAGTGAGAATGTTACATCTGCAACATGAAGTTACAGTCGATTAGCTGTTTTTGAATGCGTGCGGTACTATCGAGCGTATAATCGTATTAAAATAATAACGTATTAAATTCAACAGACCATAGATCTATACATAATTATTTTTAAGATATAAACAGTTGCAAATGAATATGTAATTTTGTTATTTATAAGCAAAAGTATTTTATCGCAAATAACAATAATCAAGTTATTTTTTGTACATAAGGCGTTGTTTTAGTCGATACCAGAAACATGCACCCACATACCAAACATAGTTTGTTATTTATACTTTTATATGAAGATAGTGGTGAGCTTCGTATTTAATTTTAGAACGTCTAATGTGGTTTAATAAGCAGTTTTGAGCAGTTGTATATAGAGTTTTTAATCCTAACCAATTCGTGAAAACTGTCAGATTTATACAATGAATAGTGAAGTTTAATTTTTATTTTTTAGGTAGGTATGCGTTGTTATGAAACTTTTTTAAGATCATGTTTTTTCAGTACAATGCGACAAAATAAATTAAATACCAAAATATCTTTGAAAATCGCTTTCCAACAGTGCTGAAAGTTTGGTTGCCATTTAAACTTACTTATCTTACAATCATATTCCTGCAATTAGATTGTTTTTTTTTAAGTTATTGTAAAAAAAATCCAAATCAGGTTTATTCACATTTTTTGTATATAAACTGTTAATTTTGTGTAACTGTATTGAGGAACAATTTAATGAAAAAAGAGGAAAAAAGATAGTTTATACAACAAACGTTGGTTTTATCTTCGGTGAAGTCGTAATTATTATCCGTTGTATGAGTCTCGACTCAAAATGGACCTCATTTTCTAAAAACTGATGACGTATAGCTTCTTAGGCAGGCAATAGTTCTGATGAATCAATTGTATCTCACAGAAAAATGTCTCTATTTATTTACGTCTCTCTTTTTATTTTTTCGGATACTTACTGATATAATTCTACGTCACTATTCATTTATAAACAAAATTGGCTTGCCGTACGTACCGGGTGAGTTAGCTAAAAGGGGACACCTGGAATAACTTTTTTGTTTATGAACCTATGTTAAGAATTTAGTTCATAAGTAGAGATGTACCGACTGTAGGTCTGGCCGACTAACCGACTAGCCGATTGTTCGGCCAGTAAAAACCGAC